TTAATGTGAATGCTGCCCCCGACATGCCCTTCAAATTCAGATCTCTCCCTTCTGTCGATCTCTGTCAGTTCCCCAGACAACTCTAAATAAGACAAAAGACTCTGAAGATTCCCATCCCTTCAGTGAGTGAAACTTTGCACCCTTTCAAGCTGATGGCTGCTGCTTCTTTGTCTTCTGAATGACTTCTCTCCCAGAGGCACCTCAGTCCCTGATGCCATAGAGTTCTTAGTAGACTTGCCACATGATTAGACATGACAGAATTCCACATATGAAGCCAACTTAGGATGAATGAAAAAAAACAATATATATATATATATATATATATATATATATATATAATAAAAAAAAGATGAAGTGCATATAGGATCTACTCAGCATTTACTGAATTTTATTCATTAATACATAGGTAACTCATCAAAATAAAAAAGGGGGGGGGGCAGTGTTGAGATCAAACCCAAACCTTTGTACAGTCTAGGCAAGTGGTCTACCACTCAGCTATATCCCCAGCCCCACAATAAATTTTTAATCAAAGTACTTCTTCTACTGCACTCTCTGGCAGTACATATACTAAAATTGGAATGTTATAGAGAAAATTAGCACGACTTYTGCACAAGGATGACACACAAAGCAAAATTCATGAAGTGTTCCCGAGTTTTAGGAAATGGAAATGTTAATTACCCCCAATTTGGTCATTACACATTTTATACATGTATCAAAGTATCACATTGTTCCCCATAAATATGTATAATTATTCTGTGTCAAATTTTAAACAAATAGTTCCTTTGAATTTAATTAAGAGTCTACCATAGTCTAGGCACTGGGTTTGGCCCTATGGAGAACATCAAGATATAGTTTGATTTTGACCTTTAGGAACTATAGAATTGAAAGGATAAGAAGAAACACAGGCCAACAAAGTACAGAGTTAGGTAGGATGAATGTTAAGCAGAGTGTGGAGGGGAATTTATGAGAGAAGATTCCTTTCTCTCAAGAGATGAAGCAGGCAGCATCAGATAGAGTCTGAAGACTGGGAAGAACTTCTAACATTTGATAAAGCAGCAATGCCATTCCAGAGGAAGGGAGAGATCTAGGCAGGATGGGACATGCAGCATTCAGGAACAGTAGGCTGGACAGAGAGGTGAGAGGAGGAATCAGAGAGAAGACAGGAAAGGAAAATTGAGGCACACTTTTAACTACTTTGAAGACAGGAAAGACCAATTTGAGGGCTGCCATAGCCATTCAAGTCTGACCATAACCGCTCAGACTAGAATAGTGGGAATGGGAAACAAAGGGAAGGGAACAGGCACAGGCCAGTATGAGCATGTGGTGGTCAACAAATGCCCACATAGTGGGCATCTGGGAAAATAAAGGAGGCCTGAAATAGCTGCCTTCTCTGGGTGTAAGGACTGGCACGGGGCCACAAAGAGTTAGTGACATTGCTCCACATGCCCCTTATCTCCGGTAGGTGCAGGGCTGGAGCGTCTGTCATAAATCTAACCCTGAGTACTATCTGGAGATTGGAGGACAGCTGCATATCTAATTTTAGGTTCATGCTAGAGAAGTAGAGCAGGTTTAATCTCCACAGGAGGGAGGAGTCATAGTGACACCACACCAGGCATCTGCTCCTACAAATGCATCCTGGAATAGCTCTCCCATAGCCTGTGAGCATTCAGAAGATGATAACTCAGTAGAACTATCCACGTCCCCTTGCATGTTATTTCATCTCCTTCCTTGAAGATCCCCTCAAACCCAAAGGTTTTGGTATCCAAGTGAAGCAGAATGGAATTCCCTTAGGTAGGTCTTAGTGACTTTGTGGGGGGACATAGTTCATGAGAGAAGATGGAACTGGCAGAAAGTTCCCACCTCTAGCCCTTGTAGCCTGATCCAAAGGAAGCAGCCAAGGATCCAATAGTATCTGTATTAATAATGATCGACAATGTTCTAGCAAGTCACAGCTCACAAAGTTCTTATACATTACTTCCTAATGTGTACAACAAACCTAGGAGGTCAAACTAGATATTCACACTTTGGATCATGTCAAAGTTCAGTTAAGAAAACTAAAGATGACTCTTCAAGAAATCAGGTACCCAGAGGATTCCAATGGGGGTCTTCCAATTATAGCGCCTTCGTTCCTATCTTCTTGTTGCCATGTGGGGATAAGGTAGAAAACAAGGGAACTTTGGGAAGGAGTTTAAAAGTAGAAGGAATAGATATTTAGCCTTTGAGAGAAAATAGCCATTCACTTGAGGAGAAAGACTCCCTATCATTAAGCAAATTGTTCCATGGGTATGAGCCATTTAGACGGCAAAAGAAATTTAAGCAAACTTTAACTGCTTATGATTGTCTTACATATGGTGGTTTTAGAAATAAAATGCTGGAAATAGACTATGTAAGATACTCCAGTGGTGCTTTAAAAGCCAATGCTCATGTATCAGGCAGGGTTTAAATCCCAGCTCCTTCACTTAAATCCCAGCAGGTTACTTAACTTCTTTCAGTTTTGATTTTTTTTTCTGTAAATTTGGGGACAGCAATAGCTCCTGCCTTGTGAAGGAGAGAAGAGACTCAAATGAGATAATGCATGCTAAGAGCTAAGCACAGTGCTGGGCACCTAATAAACACTGTGGAAATGACAGCTATATTACAGTGGTTGGTGTGGAAGTTTGATTTTAATTTGGTGTTTAAAAAGGGCAAGACCTTGCCCAAAATTTACAAGATAGACCACACTTCATGCAAAAATATGCATGAAGTCCCTAAAATGTTCCTTTTATTATTGGAAGCACTTCACCCCTATTCATCCCTGGTGTTACTTTCCCATTTTCCTGTGACACCTTGGTCATATCTGTTCCTGAATTTGATTCTCTTTGTAGAGGAAAATAAAGCAATAAAGATGGCTAACCTTGTATGAGTTTCTGAGATAGGGGCTTCTCAACTTTGTTGCCCTGTTCCTCCAAGCTTAGCCTCAATGGGGAAGACAATAAAATCTATTCTCCCAGAAGGAAGGGCCCCAGGACTTGATATCCAAGGTTAGCCAGGAGGGACTTCCCTAGGAGTTTCCTGGCCCTCAAGTAATGAAGAAGAGATGACTGAATAAGACTGATATGTGAATGGCCAGGAAACATCACATGGATTGTCACATAATGTAAGAGAGGAAATCAGATAGTCCTGAGCTTTTGAACAGCTGCATTATGAGAGTATCAGATTAAAAGAGGCCTTAAGAATAGGGCAGAAAGATAAAGTTAATGGATTGGTGACCAAAGGACATGTTAAGACTGCAGATGTCAGCAGCAAAGGCCTGCACACAATGATAAAAACGAGACATATCCAAGTCCTACACTTCCAAGTGGTCACAAGATGATTGAGGACAAGCTGTACTTTTCTGTTGACACCCTGGCACTACCATGGCTTCTTAGAACTTAAATGAACTCCAGGAAGAAGGGGATAGAGGAGCAAAACTTTGAATGTGCCAAAAAATCACTGGTCTGACCTAAATTTTTGATAAGACACTGATTCATAATTTTTATTATTAGACGTAACTAGAGTTTTAAGATAGAAACAAAATATAACTACAGAAAAACAAAGGGTTATGTTTGTCCCTTTGTTTGTAACTCTGAAGTTTTATATCTACTAGATGAGGATCCCTCCATAGAATTCTGTATTTTTTTGTAGTTGTAAATGGGCAGAATATATTTATATTATTCATTTATTTTCACGCAGTGCTAAGGATTGAATGCAGTACCTCAAACGTGCTAGGCAAGGCCTATGCTACGGAGCCACACTGGGCCACAGCCTGCTTTATAGAATTTTGTTGACTCCTACTTTGCAATATATTTTGACTCTACAAGAGATATTTCCAAAATGAAATGTACAAAACACTGATCCCTCGAAAAAGGTGGTCTCTGAAAAAGTGTTCACTGGACAAATCACTTTGAGAGCAGGGTATACTGCATGACCATCTTAGATATCCCTAATACGTAGGTTTTAGAAAAAGCTCTGTGTAGTCCTACAATAAAGAAACTATCTAACTTTTTTTGACCCAGGACACTCCAACTTATTTGATGAGGACTTTTTTTTTTTTTTTTTTTTTTGTCTGAGATACAATGTATTGTACTCCAGGAAACACTGATGTGGAGAGCTGCAGGTAAGAATGGATGATAATAGCCTAACTGTGGTGACCCAAGAGAAAAATAATCAGGTGGAACATGAGCCTAAGATTGATGCTGGGATGCAGAAAATATCATGGCTGGGCATGGAAATGCTACTTGTCAAATGACCTCATATATCTTGGAAATTGGCTGAATTTCTTCTAATATCYTTTCAAGGTCCTCGCTGAGTCACTCCCATAAATGATGGATCTTAATGGTTCTGAATATCTCTAAAGCCTTTCTGYGTAACCATCTCCCCTTTTAACTTAGTGATTCACTCCACTCCAGCAAGCAGAGGCAGAGAAAAACAGGTTGAGTTTCATTTTCCAATCATAAAAACACATATCAAGACCAGCACAGAACCCTGATGGACTATTATAAGGTCCAGAACTCATATCAGAAGTTTAACTGACTGATTCGTTTAAGATCCTGTCATTTCTGGATTGTCTTTTGAGAACTACATTCATGTTCATGTCATGCTGTTAATAAAGAAAAAGGAAGATATACCTAAAAGCTTCAGGCCAAAAAAAAAAAAACATGAGGTTCTGAGTCTGGATTCAAATCTCAACTCTGCCATTCCGTAGCACTGCAATCTTGGATACAGCTCTCTCCACATTTTAGCTTCCTCATCTAAAAATGAGGATAATAACATCCTCATCAGGGTTATTGTGAGAAGGAGAGGACTGACTCATAGGTAAGTGGTGGGTAGGGATGCAGGTTGAGATAGGATATTGTCAGTGTACCATATATTCAAGAGAAAAGTCACTAGCAGACAGCACTAGAAGCATCATGGCAATAGATGCAGGGCCATCTTCCCATTTGTTGCAGAAAGGGTAGTAGGACGATAAAGGAGCTCTGTACCTGATTGTTCGTGTGTGCTTTCGGGTGTAAGGTGTAATGACCTTGAAAAGCAGTTCCATGGCTCCATTAATTCCCAGCATGGCTCCTGTGGTTACTGAGAAAGACAGAAGCACAGTAGTTATTGTCACAGGTGAATGGGATAATACAACTTGGATTGACTCCTTTAAAACATTAGGAGATTATTATATGTCAACTAAAAATAAAATAAAACAACATCAGGGGAAAAAAAAACTTCAAGGGGCACAAAATAACTTAGATGGCTTTGTTTTCCAYGTTGGCTACAGTTTCCCTGGCTACTTTAACATATAGATTGCCTCCARCTGAGGCAATGTCCTGACTATGCCTCCGAACCAAAGTGAAAATCAGGTCTTCCTGCACAGAAGTAACTAGCCTGGGAAATTTTTCCCTTTTCAACCAATAGGATGATCATAAAAATATAGTCATAGATGAGCTGGGGACATAGGTCAGGGGTAACACACTTGCCTACCATGTGAAAGGCCCTGGGTTCAAGCCCCAGCACCACAAATGTCATATACACATTCATAGACTGAATGATAGAAACTCAAAGGGGAATCTGGTCAGATACCTAAAATTTGACATTACTCCCCTCTCCAGGGATGCCCTAGYGTCTCTCCAATATTCCCAATATCCAACTCCACTTGGTTGACCCTAGGAATGGGACAGAGAAAGGGACCTGATGCTCCCCAAGAGCTACTTAATAGTTTTCTTTCATCTTTGATAGCCGTGGCTGTGGGTGCCTCACTCAGGGCCACACACCGACTTTGGCTTTGGAAGCAACAGCTTTGGTGACAGGTCCATTGCAGATGACTCCACCGGAAGCCACTTCAGCAGCCCCCAGTCAGGTCCACCAGGAGCCCCCTTCCCTATCTGAGACTCAGCGAGAACGCTGTCAGCTGGCAGGTCACTGTGCATGCATGAGCCTGCCCTTTTTTTGTCTGCATACTCGCCCTTCCTTATATCTTTATCAGAACAATGCATGTGCTGCTGCTTCSTATGATGCAGTGCATTGATAGATTACATCGATGATTATATTTTGCCTATTTGCAATTTCTGTCTCCAATAGAGCAGGCTGAGCTGGTTACACTAAGAGCTCCTAGCACTAGAGGCCCAGGACTAGTAACACTGAGGGCGGCTAGGAGCCAGAGAGGAGCGGGGAGCCACGGAGAGCTGCAGGGAGCTGCTAGCTGTGGCCACTGGAAGAATTCCAGAGGACTTGGAGAGCTGCTGGCATTCAAAGATCCTGGCTGCTAACACTGACAGCAGAGAACCACTGGCCCTCAAAGCTCAGAGCTGCTAATGTTAAAGGAAACTGTACTTTGCCTATTCGTGATTTCTATTCAATTTGAGCATAAGAACCCTGAACTAATTGGTAACAGGAACAACTCTAATGGGGGCAGAACTTTCAGTGGGAGAATGAAGGGTGGTTATCTTCCACTGTCACTCTCTTCTTTATTTTCCTCCACTGTAATAGTGTTTTTTGAGTCAGAAGACCTAGGGATGCCATTTGCTTTGTGCTATATTTGTTCTGGCAAAACTGAGTGGGAGACAGGAGGTCTTAAAGAAGCAAAGAGGAAAYAAAAACGAGGGTGGCATCGATAGGCTTGCCTCAAGCCTCGGGAAAGAATGCTAAGGGAAATTGGAAGCTCTAATATAGTTCATCCCAATACAGACTACTGGATAGAGTCTGGGGCTGATGTCTCAGCTATTACAAAGAGCACTTGTTCCTGGAACATCCTCTAAGCATATGTTCCTCCTGAGGATAGTACAGGCAGTAATTGCCTGGATCAAAATCTGGGGATTTGGCATTCTCCTTTTACCCATCAATCTTCCTCTCTTGTGGTTACTAACTCAGCCCTTACTTCTAAATTGGGAAAACATGCTAGAGCAAAGTCTTGGCAAATAATTCAACAAAATTCTGTTTTTAAATGGAGTTAGTGAGGGGATAGCTTAAGAGCACAGATTCTAACATGGATGCCTTTGAAACTGGGAGAGGATAACAATAAGAAATTCTCATTAGGTTTACCCTTGCTGGATGCCTATCCAAGGTTGGGTCTCTGGCAGCTCTATCAATATTCCCATTGGCCATCTGGGTGCTACCAAAAGGTTCACTGGCTTTTATAGAACAATTATGGTGCCCGCCAACTCCTCTGAAGATAGGAGCTGTTTAGAAAGCTTGCTGGAACATGAGCAGTAGCTAACAATTCACAGACTTCTTGAACTCTGTTTGCCTCTCACCAGTAAAGTCAATAGATAGAGAGCAACAGTATAATTTTTCATATCTTATAGGACAGTAAGTTGATATAATAAACGTCAGCTTGGAATATGAGCCAAATGGCTACCTCCTCACACCCATAGCAAATCCCAAGATTTCTCAGAGCTCGAGCTGAAGGTATTTTTCTAGATATCCATAGTTATTGAAGATACTAAGGAAGGTAAGTCATTCGAGCCTAATTATTCTTTARGAAATCATCAGATACTTCAAATCTTCATTACTAGCTACTCAGTAATGAGAGTTATCCTTTAAGCAGAGTCACAGCTCCCCTTTCCCTTTCTTAGAGGTAGGTTTGAGCAGATCCACTCAGCTGCTCCCAAATGTTCTCTGAGTTTCTAGTCGATATGTATGAGGTGGGTGAGGATAAGTTCTGTCTATGAACAAGGAGTCCAGAACCTGTCTGATTATTCTCCAGAAGGACATTCTCCTTATGAGTCTTCCATCCTTATTAACAGAATTCACCACTGATTATTTTTATAGTTCTTAGGATATCTAGTAAAAGAACTATTTATTATTTACTCTCTTTACAGGTCCTCCTGTTATTTCAGAAGATTAGAGAAAAAGTAGGACAGGAAAGAGAAACTAACACTTGTGCAGCTGCTATGTGGCAATCATACCCATAAGTATTATTTATCCTTTCTACCAAGTCTGTGAGCTCTGCTATGAGCTGAATTGTGTTCCCCAACATTCTTGTGTTGAACCCCTAATACTACTCATTAATTATACTCACACTAAAATAGTCATTACCTAAGAGGTGATTGGGGCAGCCCATAATCTAATCTGACTTGTGTCCTTATAAGAAAAGAAAAACTTAATATGTAACAAGACACCAAGGATGCACAAGCACAGAGAAAAGGCCATATGAAGACACAGGGAGAAGACAATTATTGTCCTTAGGTTTAGGAGAGAGGCCTCCAAAGAAACCAAACCACATTGTGATCTCAGACTTCCAGTCTTCAGCTCTAGGAAAAAAAAGTTAATTTCTATCGTTTAAGCCATGTAGACTGTGGGTATTTTGCTATAGCAGACCTAGCAGATTAATAGTAATAATTATTGCTACTATTCTTTTACAAAGGAAGAAACTGAGGTTAAACAGGTTAAGTACCCATATCACATTACTCATAAGAAATAAAATCAGAGTCAAATTTAGGTCCTTCTGGCTCTGAGCCCCACATTCTTTCCCTTGCAGAGTATACTACATCTAAATAATTGTCACTTTCATTCTACAGGAAGGGAGTTCAGGAAGGAGAAATGAAAGTCTGTGCTTATTACACATGAAATAGGCGTATCATCTTATCTATTAATAAAAATTGTGTCCATATGGAGTAGAATCAACATGAGTTTTGGAATTAGAAACGCAGCCCTCATGACTTTTTATCTGTATGAATTCAAGTAATTATTGCACCCTTCCAAACATTTTTTTCCTTAGCTATAAAATTATGCATCTAAGTCCAGGATGGTTATAATAATTAGAAATAATTCAAATTAGAAGATGAGAAATAAGTATCAGCATGGATCTATTCACTTTGTGAGAGAGATCATGAGATAAAAACAAATAAACCAAAACTGGTACTGATAGATTAAAAATTGGTAATGAATATATTCAGGAATTCAGTAAGGAGATTTGTGGTGTGAAGGTCATTTGTGGCAGATGTAACACCTTTCACTATGTCTTGGATATGATAAAAACTGAAGAAATCCTGTCTTTATCTCACCACAGAGAATTCTAGAATGCTATAATGAATGTGTGACTCTCAAGGAAAACCAATATCAAAGCCTAACTCCAGGAATGAGCTCAAGAGTTATACCTGGCTAAGGAGGAGATGAAGAAATAATTTATCACCTCCATAGTCTTTGGATCACCTGGCTCCTTTATTTATCTGGTTGGGATAAATATATCCCCCACTTCCTCCCACCTCCCCCACTAGACCCCCACATGGTTCCCAGGAGTCCTAGCACCGTTCTGAAAGCCATCGTATAAGTCCACAGTAGAGTCACTTACCACTGGAGGCAAACACACGCAGAGCCCAAAGACAGTGCAGGAGGTTCTGGCTATGGGACAGGTTTTTCCTGGCTAGAATTAATGTCACATCAAGTGCTTCCAATTCCAGTGCCTTCTGTCCAAACTTTTTATCTAGGAACACAAATCAATCTCTCTTAGTTGCATTTCACATTGAATCTGAAAAATTGTACAACATCTAGAGCAAAGAAAGGGAAGACAATCATAGTCAAAGACACTTTTCAGATCTAGTTAAAACAAATTCTGCAAAATATCTCCATTGGAACCAAATGAATCAAAGAGTTAATTCTGGATACATATATTTATTTAYATTGGGGGTTGTATGACTTTCAAGCCCTTATATCTGAAGATATTTCTGGTTGTTCTCAAACATGAACTCCAGTTCAGTTGAGTGTCAATTTCTTCCTTTAAGACAATTCTAGAGTTAAGAATACTTAGTAAAACAACACTCAAATGCAATGAGTGAATTTTTATTAGATCCTGCTTTGAATGTATTTATAAGAGAATTGGGAATATTTGGAGAAACTGGAATAATTTCTCCATGCATTGTTAATTTTATTAAACGTGTAAGAATGGTCTTGTGTTTATGCAGGAAAATGTCTCTTTTCAAATAAATGCACTCCAAAGAATTTTGGAGCATTTTACTTAAAATATTCCAAATAAATTCAATGGGTGAAAGAAATACAGCAAAATGTTAATAATGGTGAGATCTAAGTTGTAGGCAAATAGAGGTCATTTTTCTATGTGACAAAGAATTTTCATAATGAAAAGTCAAAACATYTTAAGAAAATAATAAATCCCCATCAAACATCTCTAAATTATTGTTCCAAGTAACCTGATGTCTAGTGTTGCAGATAAGTTATTACCATCTGATTAATTAAAAGATAAGCATTGAAAGTAAGGAAAAGCACCTTTTATTCTATGTTCCTTTCCCCCAACTTGATACCAGTTGACTGTGAACCCAGTCATATTTATTTTTGTCCTTTCCAAGCGACATGCCTAAATAATCCTGGTTTGTTGAGGGTTTTTTTGTTTGTTTGTTGTTGGTTTTGTTTGTTTGTTTTTCAGAAATGCATCCCCATCAGATTCACTGCAATAGTTTTCTTTCTGTGTTTGGCTTACTTCCTTTAGCCTAATATCCTCCAGGTCCATCCATGTTGTGGCAAATCAATGTCAGGATTCCATTCTTTTTAAGATTGGATAATATTCCACTGTGCATATATGCTGCTTTCTGTACTCATTCATCCWTTGCTGAACACTCAGGTGATTTCCACATCTCAGCTATTATGAATGATGCTACAATGAACATGGGAATGCAGATATCTTTACAAATTGGTGATTTCATCTCCTTGAGATACATGCTAGTCACATGGTTCTATATTTAATTTCTTTAGGGATTTTCATAGTGACTCTATCAATCTGTATTCCCACTAACCATGTGCAGGATTCCCTTTTCTTCCATCTTTATCAACATTTGTTATCACTTCTCTTTTTATTAATAACCTTCCTTACATGCTGAGGTGGTAACACAAATATACAGAGATAGAAAATGAAATAGTGTTCACGGCCAATGGGGGTGGAGGAAAGGAAACAGGGTGTGAGTGAAATGGTTAAAAAAATAGCCAGTATGTGGAATAAATAGGTTCAGAGATTGAGTGTATAACATGAGGACTAAAGTTAACAAAGTCATACTATATCAGGTATTTTTTTGTTAAATAAATAGATTTTAATGCTATTGTCACAAAAAAGTAACTGTGTGAGATGATAGACATGTTAATCTGCCTTATTATAATCATGATATATATATATATATATATATATATATCCATAAATCTCAAATATACACAGTAAATTTTACTTTTAAAAAAATCTATCACAGCTGGGCATGGTGGCACACACCTATAATTCCAGGGGCTTGGGAGGCTGAGACAGAATGATCACAAGTTCAAAGCCAGCCTCAGCAATTTAGTGAGGGCTTAAGCAACCTACTGAGACCCTGTCTCAAAATTAAAAAAAAAAAAATAATGGGCTGAGGATGTAGCTCAGTAGTGGTTGAGTGCAGCTTGGWTCAATTGCTGGTACAAAAAAAAATTATAGGTGAAAATGAGTAAAACAGACAGTATCCTCAAGCTGGTTTTATCAATTTTAACTGGCCAAAGACACCAGCAAAGATTATAACTAAAATTAAAAGACCCATTCCCTTTATCAGAAAAGAAATGTCTGTCCTACGCTGCTGATAAACAAATGCATTTCTCTTCTATTCAGGCCAGCTAACAACTTGAACATCAGTATCAAGAACTGTAACCCTTGATAGCAGAAACTGCAGTGACATAATTATTACAAAGACATTTCAAGATCATTAAGTAAGAAATCACTGTCCTCCTAGTGAATCTCTCATCTCTTTCTCTCCTATAAAATCTATATGACTCTTTTTTGTCAGTATCCAGGCTCCACATGCTAAGCATGTGGTGTATAGTAGCTCATTCAATTTTCATATCAACACTAGAATTAAGTACTGTACCTTCATTTTATACAAAAGGACACAATGGTTCAGAAAGCATAAGCAAATTACCCAAGATCACACAGCTAGAAAGTGTCAGAGCCAGACTTGAAACCCAGACCTGACTTCCCAGTTTATACTGTTTATGACCAGGCTGTATATCAGGTCTCTACGTTTTTTTTCCTAGAGTTCTCTTGGCCTACTCAGCTTTGCTGACTTCCTCTTGTTCTTCAAGTTTCAGCTCAAATGTCACCTCTCCCTGACCATGCCATCTTAGAGTAGCATCACTCCTTCTTTTTCTTAAGGCATTCATCACAGTCTGCTACCATCCAGTTAATTATTTGTTGACTTGCTGGCCTGCCCTACTTGGAATAGAATCTCTGTGGGAACAGATTCTTGACTGCCTTGGTCACTCTGGTTTCCCCTGTATCTAGAACCACACCTGGCCCTGAGAGACTGGTAGTAAATACCTATGGAATATTCAACAAATATTTTATTTTTGGTCTTATCTGAAGCATGTTCAATGCATATGACACCTGATGCCTACTTCTCAGTTCTTATCAGTGGAATGTTGAATGGGCTCTAAATAGAGACCCAAACATTAAAAGGAAAGGGTGACCCAGAACCCTCAGCTATAGCTGCAAACTGTAGACATCATAGGTCTGCTTTTCAGAGGGTCTGAGCTTCTCAGTTGTGACTTGTGTGAAACTCAACACAAAATTTACACTTAATTGTTACGACTAGTTTGAAATGTTTGCCTGATTTCTGACCACCTGGGTTTTCAAGAAATTCTAGGTTTCTGGAACCTTCCATGAGAGAAGAGAAATGACCATGAAGCATAAGTGGAAAACACTTTGGGTCACTACTTCCTCTCAACTAGGGAAATTTTACTTCCATGTAATTTCTTATAGTGGGTGGAATGAATAGTCTCACCCAAATATTCATATCTACCCAGAACCTTTTATTTGGAAATAGCATCTTTGTAAATTTAGTTAGGATTTTTTATTGATTTAAGATGAGGCCATTAGAATAGAATGGGCCTTAAATCTAACTACTGATGTCTCTGCATGAAAAGGAGAGGACACACAGAGAGCCATGTGAAGATGGAGGCAGAGACTGGAGTGATGCATCTATAAGCCAAGAAACACTAGAGATTTGGGYAACCACCAGAAGCTAATTGGGAAGCCAAGAGCATATTCTCCCTTAGGGCCTCCAGGAGGATCCAACCATGTCAATATCTCCATTTGGAATTTATGGTCTCTAGAATTGTGGTAAAATACATTTCTGTGGCATCGTGTCACCCAGTTTGAGGTAATTTGTGATGGAAGCTCTAGGAAACTAATATACACATGATAGACTTTCAGGTAAGTAACAATTTATTAAAATGTTTTGTTTATTTTTTTTCAAATGATTAAAACTACATTGAAGTGACTCATCTCTTCCTCCATATGACCCAAACTCTGTCTAATCCAAGTTTATGCCTGCTGTGGTGGCCTCTCTCCTAAGCACATCCCTTGGAAAAATGAACATCTAGGTTAAAAAAAATTGCCTTTCCTGTGGAGTGAGTCAGACCATCACCACCAATATGTCTGAGAGCTCTCTGCTGCTTCCCCACAAGAGCTTCCCAAATGACACTCCTGGTAACAACTGCAGAAGTGCCTTTTCAGCCTTGGATCTTGGAATGTGGGTACCTCGAAGGCCAACTTTGGCCAGCAGTCTGAAGAGAGGCAGGAGAATGTCATAGTCAGGAGAAGCTGCCCTTGCAGTGTCCACCAGAGTCTGCAGAAGGGCTTCACTACCACCTTTGCTGATCATGTAATGAATCCTCCTATCTGTGCCTGGGGGAAAACCAGAAGAAAGATAAGCCACCAGTAACCACCCTCATTTTCTTAGAGCAGCCCTCAGACCTAACAGCAAAGAGCAAAGGTTGGTTTATCTCACCCCAGAAACAAAACGATGTAGTTCTTAGAGTACTATGTGTTAAAGTTGTGGCATCTGGGGAGGAAGTGTGAAAGGGGAGAATGGTGGAATATTTAAGAACCTACGTGTATTCATACCTGCAGCTGCTGTGATAAATGGATCCTAGAATTCAGTTCCCCAGAGCTTGTTTAATCATCAGTGAGGTGTGTGCAAATGCACAGACATGTACATAAATAGGCATCCAGGCTTACTTGTCATCATATGCCTAATACCCTTGTGCTGTGGGTTTGAATCATTAGTAACAAGAGTTGGGAAGATATTTCATCTAGAATAATGTTACTGATGGTTTAATGATTTTCTGATCCTGGCCTTCAGTAAAATATAGAATTCACTGGAGTAATCTTTTGAGAAATGTTAGGGTTTGGATAACATCCCCCCAAAGCTCTTGCTCAATGCAGGAATATTCAGAGATGAAATAGTTAGATTAGGAGAGCTCTGTCCTAGTCAGTCCACCCTGCTTTGAATGGACTGACTGGGTGGTGAGTGTAGGCAGGTGGGGCGTAGTTGGAGGAGGCGGGCCACTGGGGGCATACCCTGAGGCCTCTTCCTCCCTCTCTCTCTTCATCTTTGCTATCATGAGAAGAAGAGCTTCCCTCCATCATGCCCTTCCCCCATGATGTACTGCCTCACCTTGGACCCAGAGCAATGAATTCAGCTGTATATATATGGACTGAGACCTCAGAAACCATRAGCCCCAAATAAACTTTTCCTCCTCTGAGTTGTTCCTGTAGGGTATTTTGGTCACAGTGACACAAAAAAAATCTAGCTAATATACGAAACAAATGCCAAGCATCCTATCCTATCTAGGGAATTTTGAAGAGACCGAAGCAAAAATGAAGTATTGGTCTTTCTGTCTAAGAGGTTTGAAAACCTCTCAGAGAAAGATTTTCTTAATAGAGGTTTCCTTTGGTAGGTTGGGAGGTCCCCAACCCACCAAAGGACAAACTCAAAAGCATTGATGACATTTCAATTTGGAAAGTGAACGGAGTGATTCTCTTAGATCAACATGCCCTACACATGGCTGACCCAACCAAAGTGGCCAGCAAGATGGGATCTTATCAAAAAAGATCCTCGGGTTTTTCATCCTAATTAAAAGTAGAAACCTCTACAAACAAAGGAAGGAAGGAAGGAAGGAAGGAAGGAAGGAAGGAAGGAAGGAAGGAAGGAAGGAGGAAGGAAGGAAGGAAGGGGCATAGAGGAGAGGAAAAGAAAAGAAAGGAGAGGAGAGGAAAGGAGAGAGTAACCACTACCTTCATCAGAGGAAGAACCCCAAGGTTTCATTCTAAGAGTTTCAGACACCTCTGGGTAAATTGAAGACAGCATTATTCCAGAAGACAAGTGACTTTATCTACAAAGGGGAACTCACTCCGCATTCATGGAGATCAGCGTGGCCCATGAAAAGAGCCCCTATGATGGAACCCTTGAGACTCTAGCTTTGTCATGTCCTTCATTCTTGGTATCAMCTGTTTGTGGTAGTGTTTCTTTCTAATATCAGAAGCTGGCACATGTAGAAATGCAAATTGAGTGAATTTGGAATGTCCAAGGACCTTGGTGGAAACTAGCCAATAGAGATAYGCTCCAGTTAACTCAGTTGATCCCAAAGTACTCAATTCTGTCATCTTTTCTCTGAAAACTTACGTGGCTTACCAAACTTCAAAGTCAAGCTCCTACCCCACATTCCTGTCTCCACTTTGACATAGGTAAGGCAGCCACCAATACCTGGCTTTCCAAATGACCCACAATGGAGGTTAGAAAAGGGAGGAGAGGGGCAGAATCACTGAGGTGTAACCCTTCCAGAGAAGAGGTAGACACAAGCCCCAGGAGATCCTCAGACTCATGAAAAACCACAGAATAACCACCCAGTGTCTAATTTTTTTTCCTAAGGTAGAGTCGGTGAAAAGAGTGTAGAACCCAAGTACAATCAGCCCTATTTATTTCAAGAAGAAAACATGGGATGATGATGTCTCTCATAGGAAATGAACTACAGCAACCCCCAGCCAGAGATTACTTAAAAGACCACATCCGCATGACTCCATGTCCATCACATGATTCCATGAGAGGGTAGTGTACTCACCAACAGAAAGAAGATCTCCAAGGACCTTTAGGATGGTCAGGATAGATACCTTGTCAGAGGAGCTCTGCAATGAGAACACAGACAGTCATCCTTATAAGGAATGCATGAGGAAGGAGGTGGCATGGTCAGGAAGGCCCAGGCAAGAGGCAGGGCTCTGCTGTCTTCCACTGAGAAGTCTCCCTATGGTCAAAATATGGACAAGGGGCTCTCTTTAAATAGTAATAATAAGGAGGCTCACTGAGATAAGGGTTCCAGGGACTAGGCCTCTACACTGAGTCTTCAGGACCCCTCTGGAAGGGCCTGTCTTGTAGTAGCATCAGCAAAATGCACAAAAGTATAAATATTAATGATTGTCATAGAGCCAAAAAGACAAAGGGGGCTTTGTAGGCCGAGGCAGGATAGATCTGTGATTGCAGTACATGTGGATTTTTTTTTTTTTAAACTCAGGGCACAGAGGAAAAAGAGAAATCCACCAAAATGTTCTGATGCAAATACTTCCTTGTTAGATAAAGATGTATATTTCTTCTCTCAAGAGAAGCTTGGGGTAGTACCAAATCATATTATGGTGACACTCTAACAGATYCTAACAATTCTGGACATCTACCCCTCATATTATAAAAGAACATCCTGAGTTCAGAGGGTAGGAGGACTTGCTAAGTCCCCGGAGGTAATCTATATAGTGAAGCTAGAAGTGAAACTTATTGGATATGGAAAATGAAAAAAAAAAACAAATAGTGAGGTGAGGCCTGGAAGAAAGAAATAGAAAGGAAGGCCATGCCATGGCGACTTTCTTCTCTCCCAAGATAAATCCTTCCCAGACACTGGCCACAGACAGGGAAACAACGTCTCATACAACCTARAAGTGGTGTACTTTAGGAAACACTAATCTCTTTCAAGACAGTTCCTCTCCAGGTGGTGGCCACTAACCCCAACTCAAGGACTCAAATTCCTGAGTGCTCAGACTGGCACACTTCCTAAATCACTCACAACTGATAGAAGCCCAGTAGCCTCCTTTGTTCAATGGCACACTTTCCACCAGGAAAGTGGGTCTATTCCTTAGGTGTAGTCCATTCCTGAATAAAGGCTGAGCTGATTTGTGAAGTTTGACTCCAGCCTGGTATCTTTGTTCTAAAAAAAAACTAGTACAGGTTTCCAAAAATCAGTCCAGTCATCTCTGCACCATAAAAAAAAAAATTCATGATGGACAAAATATCAAAACTGAGCTCACTAACTCCTACTCTAGGTGGAATAAGGCTTCTGGTGATTCTTATGTACTTGATATCTATACTCATACAGAAAGAAGATTTGGGTGTACTGTGACATCTTTTCCACCGGGAGCTTTAACCTAAGGGGAACAATCTCAGCATATGCTATGCTAGTGCCTCTCATCACAGCTGCAGTGAGTACCAACAGAAGGTGTCATTCTGCAATTCTCAAGTCCCTGTCACCCTCCCCCCAACTGCCATATGTACATGAAAACAATATTTTCCCCTCCTTCTTCAACCAAAAACTGGAAATAGGAATCAACGGGCAGCCCAGGAACTGATCTATCATTCTGGAGAGATTGCAGGACTCCAGCCTTTGAAAGCAGACCTGCAGATGGCTCACGGTAGAAAAACAACATCCCTGGAATGGTTTCCCTGGCCAGCACTGACATTTATAGATCGATCCCCAGCACACTCCATCTTTCTGTGAAGAGGGGGAGAGATGAGAGCCTTTTGCAAGACTGGGTAGACGTTGCACAACTTTAAAAATGCTGAGCTGTGAATGAAGAACAAAGAAAAGGAAAATAAGAGAGAAAATGGGGAGGTGAGATCAAGAGAAAAGGGAAAGAGAAAAACTAATACGTCGCAAGCTGACTGAAGGGGAATGAAGGATCCAGATTTCATTTCCTTTCATTCAATTATTCATGCATTCATCCCACAAACATCCATTGGAAAGCATCTGTGTTCCAGTTACTGAGCTAGACAGTGAGGAAACAAATTGATCAAAAGACAATCTGCCACTATGAGGCTGCAGGTCTGGCTGAGGTAAGCAGCTGAAAGATAGGTAGGACCAGGGATTCAAAGACCTGTGGCAAAAGTCAACATCAATGCTAGAGACTCCTGAGGAGGATCACTTAACCCAGCTATGAGTAATGAGTAATGAATCAGAGAAACCAATAGAAAGAGGAGGGGAATATTTCCTGCAATGCTGTACCCCTATGAGCTCAGAGGGATACACTGGGGGACAGATCTGCATCCAGCACGATTGGATTGAATAACACAGATGGTGAAGAGAATTGTGAATTCCTTGTGGGCAAGAACTAGATCTTATTCATCTCTATATTCCCATCTCCTAAGGTGTAATTGACAATCTGTATATTTTATTGAATTAATTTCTCCAGCTAAGGAATTGCCTGCTTTATTACAATGGCCACTAATACTCCCCGAGAACAGCACTGTCTCCCATGCTGCTGCTGCTGCTGTCTGCCAGCAGAGATATAAAGCTGGCCATATGGTATGTATCAAATCAGCACCCCTAAGTCCATTTGACCAGTGGCTGACAATACAGGCTGCACTCCCAGCCGTTCCTCGATAGTGGCTTCACACTCGATTCAAAGCTGGGGCAGTGATGGAGGATGCAGGTCCCTCTCCCCTGCCCAGGGAATGGGCCATGGGCCAGCTCTTCTAAGCCTTTCTTTTTGGTATGTGACTGGTTTAGAGGTAGGTAGGAGCCCAGATCCAGGATAGAAAACCTGAGTGCAAGTCTGCTGGGAGGTTCTGGAAATGATTTTTCTCTAGGATTAAAAAAAGAAGAGAGTACACACACACACACATACACACACACACACACACAACTTTGCTGGTTTTAGACATTATTGTTGTCACTTGGGTCCTAGGTAACACTGCTGAGCCATCAGGTCAACTTTATGAACTACCTACCCGTGGACTTTCAGATAAATACCCTCACTCCCCTCCCACTCCCCCGCCCCGCCCCCCCACACACACACCAGGGTTCAAACACAGAGGTGCTTTCCAACTGAGCTACATCATCAATCCTTTATTTTTATTTTGAGACAGGGTCTTGCCCAGGCTAGCCTGGAACTTGCGATCCTCCTGCTTCAGTCTCCTGAGTAGCTGGGATTACAGGCGTGCGCCACTGCATCCACCTAATACCTTCAGCTTAAAAGCCACTTTTATTGGGTAGTTTGTTACTGAATTCAGTTGTGACCAATAAAAAAAAAAAAAAAAGAAAATTGTACACCTCCGCATGCCCTCTTCCTAAGCGCTATAGTCTTAATAGAAAAGAAATTGACTTCGCAAACGAACCCTAGGGCCAGTCCAGCAAGAGAATCCTGGCTTCCCAAAGAAACAGAGACAGTATCCTTATACAGATGTTGAGTTCATAATGCTGTCACTCAGCTATGAGCCARAATGCATCCGCACAGTATTGTTTTTCTTTAAGTAAAAATGATGGCTATCAGTGGAGAAAAAAATACCCCACAAAATCTCAACTGACATTAATTTATGCACTGCTATATTTACCAATAAATATTTTACACTATTTAGAAGAATAACACAAAGCCGTTATCTCACCCACAGTAATAATAAATGAGCAATTAAAGAAGGCAGGATACGATGTGCCTCGATTTTCCTTTAATGATCCTTTTAAATGAATCATTGAGTAATCCCCTGTTGTTTAATACTTTCCTATAAAAAATGGATCTGCCAAGCTTTCAGGGAGAAGCAAGCAGTTGAAAGAACAAACAGTGTCTTTCACACACTGTGGGGTTTTGAATTGCATTTTTCTTATATACTCTTTCAAATTTGTCGCTCCCTTGCTTTTAAAACTCCCTGTYGCCTTCTTCCTCCTGACTCTTCATCATGTTATGAAAATAAGACCCTTCGTATCACTCTGCCTGGGAGGCTCATCTCCAGCCTCTCCTCCTACCCTGGTACTGAACACGCCAGCTACACAGGACCAGTGACTGTGCCCAAGCACACCATGAATACCCGTGCCTCTGAGATTTTGCTCTTCCTGATGCTACAGTTTGAGTGTAATTTCTCCTTCCTTTTCAAAGTACATTTCAATTCCCAGTTCCAGTTCCCTCTCTATAAAAACTTCCCAGCTAACATGCCTGCCAGGCACCCATCACCCACAATTGCCACATAAGTCTGCACACATTGGGTACTGCCCAACTCCAGGGGATGTCATTCACAAAGATTATGACATGATGGGTATGCCCTCAAGTGGGACAATGTGTTGTCCTCTCCAAGAACAGAATTGTGTTCTGTATGTTTATTTCCAAAAATAATACACACTTTTTCACTAGAATGCTTACTAGGTCCTCTTGTTATGTTTTTCTACCTCCCTGTTCTGGTTGTCTATTATGAGGCAACAAACTACCCTAAAATGCAATGGCTTAAAACAACAGACTTTTAATTTTATCTCTTGATTTTGTGGTTAGGGAATTCACAGAGCTTATAGGAGAGACTATTCCATTTTCCATGGTGTCAACAGAGGTCTTAAGGTGGCACTCACCTGCAGATGCACTGTCTGAAAGTTCACGTCTTGTGCGGTGGTAAGGGTGGATGGAGGGCTGGGCTCATCTTGGTCTGTTGACCAGTGTGCCCRCATGTGTCTTTCAGCAGAACAGTCTTAAGGTCCTTGAGCTTCTTATGTGGTAGCTGACTTTGCCCTAGTTCTAAGAGAACTGGGAAGAAGTTGCAAGACTTTGTTTGACTTTTCCTCAAAAGACTAAATGTCATTCCTGCTGTATTATATAGGTCAATTAAGTCACTGATGCCATTTCAGATATAAGTGRAGGGGAACTAGACTCCTCCCCTCAATTGGGGAAGTTGAAAAACCATTTGCAGCCATTTTCAATTTCCCATACTCCTTTTAGACCATGAGCTCTTTCCATAAAGCAAGAATTTTGACTCAGTCCTCCTGATATCCCCAGAATCTCGCATGGGGCCATGCACAGAATAGGCATTCAGGAAAGAATGGAATGGGATGAGATGAGACAAAATTGAAACATAAATGCAGTCTGCCAGAGCCTTGCTATCCTATTCTTCTTGG